AACGCTATTACTACTACTGCAGTGCTCCTCCAGAGTGCTGCTGCCGAATCCTGAAGACTGCCTCCTGCCTCCTGCACGTGAAGTGCCTGGGAAGTCCCTATGAACTACCTGCAGCCTGCAGGGCGGGCCAGTCTTATATAGTGCTGGTTGGTCCAGGAGGCTGCTCTTGCCAATGCCAAAACGTGCCAGACCCTGGCGTTGAAGTTCAAACAAAGGTTGTCTTGAAAACAGGCCCAAAATGGACTGTGCTAAAACCCTGGTCTGGTGCCTAAGCTTCAGGGCAGGTCGACTTTATGAGGGCCTGAAAATGGCCCTCATTTTCAGGCTTTTAGGCTGAAACGACACAGGGCCTGTAGGCCCTCGTTTTCAGGCTTTTAGGCTGAAACGGCACAGGGCCTGTAGGCCCTTGATTTTAGGCTTTTAGGCTGAAACGACACAGGGCCTGTAGGGCCCTGAATTTCCATCTGGTCGGGCCCTGCAGCCCCGTGTGGCTGCGCAGTGTGCCACAGCCTGCTTCCCTGCTTTTTTCCAGCAGAAAAAAAAAAAAAAAGAGGAAATGGGAGATGGCAGGCAGTGGGATATGGCGGACCGTACAATATGGCTGGCGGATGGCTGGCGGATGTGCGAGATGGCGGGCGGTAGGATAAGGTGGAGGAGGAGGAGGCGGAGGAGGAGGAAGAAGATTAAGAAAGGAGGAGGAGGAAGAAGAAGAAGAAGAGGAGAGGAGGAGGAGCTGCCAGTTGTGTATGGCGATGACGAGGGGAGGAAAAAAAAAAAAAGGACGATGGAGGAGGAGGAGGGGGTGGAGAGAAAAGAAGAAGACGAAATGAGGAGGAGGAGGAGGAGGAGCTGCCGGTTGTGTCTGGTGATGACGATGAAAAAAAAAAAGGAAGGCCAATGGAGGAGGAGGAGAGAAGAAGAAGAAGACGAGAGGCGGCGGAGGAGGAGGAGGAGGACGAGGAGGAGAGAAAAGAAGAAGACGAAATGAGGAGGGGGAGAGAAGAAGAAGACGAGAGGAGGAGGGGGAGGAGAGAAAAGAAGAAGACAAAATGAGGAGTGAAGAAAAAGAAGACGAGAGGAGGAGAAGGTCGGCTGCACACGAGGAGGAGGAGCAAGTCGGCACCTCGACGATGGTCAGATCGGCGACGATGTGGCAGCTTGATGATGGGCAGCACGATGGGAGTCCGCGCGAGGAGGAGGAGGAGGTCGGCTACACGCGGAGGGCACCTGACAGGGCAGGGGCAGCTCGATGATGACGCGCCAGGGGCAGGTTAATGGTGATGGGCAAGTCAATAACAATGGCGGGCCTTTGAACTTCGTGGGCAGGGAGGACAATCCCCCGTTCGAATTCGAATGCGGGATCGTAGCCTGCCAGGGGGGATGGGACAAGGCCTTTTTCGGCGACTGATCCCCAGCCGCCGATCTGCTGGGATCAGTTGGCGAAAAAGGCCTGTCCCTCCCTCCTAGAAAGTCATACAATTATTTTTTTTCAAGCACTAGGCGGTTGGGGAGGCCGCCGCTGGCCGAACCCCCCCCCCCGCGCGCGGAATTGCGCTGGGCCCGCTCAACGCCCAACCGGGGAATCCAACCAGCCGGGCCGCCTGGGAGCCCTACCGGACGAAGGCCAGGCCGCCGGGCGGTCCGAATTTTACTACAGTCCGTTGACCCTTTTTTTCCCTTTCCTTTCCCATCTGGCACAACGACCCGCCTCTGTGGTTATGAGACCTTTGCCTCTGTCACGTCCGCAGTACTTTCATTGCTTTTTTGAACTCGGAGGCTGTTTGTTTTGCCAGTGAGTGTTCTTTTTGCCGATTCAGAATATCATTGAACCACCACTACCTCCGTGCCTCTTTTCATTGAGGCGGATTCCCTCTGCACGCCACGCTTTGCCAAACCGCTGGCATGGAGTTCTTTTTTTCTTTTGGCTGGTGCTGCCACCCATTTTGGTCTGGCTGCACCCGACCCCCCAAAGAACCCAGAATGTTACATTTTCGATTCTCAAAGTTGTCTGGGAAAGGCAGTGGTGGTTTAAAATTTAAAAGCATATAAGATAGATGCTATCTGGAGGGAATTGACACAGTTGCAGGATGTCCACATAACTTCCCATGATCCACACACACACACACACACCAACAGAGCCAATAAATTAATATCAAAATATGCGATTTACAAACCTAGACTCTTCAACTGAAGCTTTAAAAGGCCTCTCCCACGCTGAGCTCTTCACCACTCGTATGCCTTGGATGACCTCATTGAGAACCTGTCAACGAAATAAAGAAATGGGACGAATTTTTAGAATTCGAATCTTTGAGGAGGGAAAACAAAAAAAAAAAAAATTGCCAAAACTTGGCCCAAAAGAGAGTTTGATCACTTTGGTTTGGTTGGAGAGATTCCACATTTTTGACGGAGTTGAAATTTCCCCGCGCCTCTTGTACACCATTTCCCTCAATCTGCATTTCTCTTCAAGGATCAGGTTCAAAAGTTCAAAACTGATTCATGCAGAAAAAAAAAACAGTAAAGAAAATTATGTTCGTGGAAAGGGAAAGGTAATTTACGAAAGTTGACCTTTTACTATGATTTTAGTCACTGGGTAAGGTGTCACTTTGCACTGAGTGGATTTGGATTTCACCTGGGAAGGCATGAGCAATCTCATCAACCATGTCTTTTTTTCCATGGTAGAACGTGGGTTGCGATTCTTGGGAATGTTTGCTGCCTCAGCATGCAGTTCTTCTCAAACCAGTACGCGAGTGTGTGCGCACACACACGCACACAGTCAGTTTTACGTATGTCTTGCTTTCGTTTTGTTTTTTTGTGTCTTTCTTGCTGCTTTTCTTTTTCATGCGCCCCCCGCCCCCCCTCCTCTTTTTTACTTCAAACTTTCTGTCTAACTGAGCACCTCTAAGTAGTGCCAAATAGCCGAGTACCTGCAGCACTATTTGGGGGGGCGCTCCGTTCAGGATGTCTGTGTTTCCTACAGGTGATGACAGACGTTCATCGGACTGCCTCCCTGGCTCAGCAGGTGGTCAGAACCAACGGTCTGTGGGCTTCACTTGTGGTGTGAGTAGGTGATGTACTGCTTTGCCCCGTGTTCAATCTGTGGACTGCCTTGTATATGCTCTGCAGCTGCCTTGCTGCCGATCCTGCTTGCTCCCCATGCCATTCTTTCCAGATGGTGTGTTACCATGTAGTTTGGATGTGTTGTTGGTGTTGCCTTGTGCTTCGCTGCACTCTTGCCTTGCTCCCCATCCCCCGCGTGGCTTGCCTTCCTGTGAACTTTGCTTGTCTGCCATGTGGTTTGGCTGTTTGGCAGTGTTGCCTGGTGCTTCACTGTGTTGATGCCATGCTGCCCGTCCGCTTGTGCTGTCACTCCACGGACGTGATTTTCATGTCAACTTTGGTAAATTATCTTGCCTGCCCGCAGTTAGCTTCGGCGCTGTACAGTTGGGTTGCCCCGTCAGCGTTGCCTGGTGCTTCACTGAGTTATTGCCTGCTGCTTTGTTCCACTTGTGTCGCCTGCTGGCAGTCTGCTCTCAGCAAGGGTCAAAGGATTCATGACCCGAACCATCAATATGGGAATTCTGCAGATTGTTGAGGGTTCAGCCTCCTGATGAGTCGGTGCAAGTCCGGCGTAACAATCTTGTCATCATCAGTCTCTTTTTTTTTTAGAAAAAAGAAAACTAAGCTATACTCTTCTCTCAATTATACCTCCCACTACCTACCTACCTTCATGGTTTTGCATATGTCCTTTCACCAGCCTCCACCCGTGTCAAAGCACCACTGGGTAATCTGAGAAATCTTTCTTTCTACCCCACTCCGGGTTGATCCTAACCGCCGGCAAAGGATGGAAGGGACGAAGGGATAGCCCTTACTGAACCAACCAGGGGGCGGGGGGGAAGGAATCTGCCTATCTCAGCTGGTGAACCCTCAGCATGCCGCAGGAGGCCGTGGGGGTCCGAATGAAAGACGTGGGGAACCGAACCCACGACCCTGGATGCCGCTTTTGCGCTCTACGAACTGAGCTAGGCCACTGGCCCTTATCATCATCAGTTTCATTTTTTCTCGGTTTTCTGTTTTTCGGTACTTGTACTGCTGGTCGTTCCCTTTTCCCTGTCTTGTGGGCTTGTGTGTTGTGTGTTCCATTTTCCCTACCTTGTGGGCTTGTGTTTTTTTGTGCCCTCCTGCCTACCCTTGCCCTCCCATCTATGTGGCTCCAAGTTTTTTGGACCTATGGCGGATAGGGTTGGTGCTTTCTTGTTGGCGGAGTCCTCTGACTTAGGTAAGTTGCTTCTTGCCCTCCGTGATGACCCGACCAAACATGGACTGAAACACACAGCTGATTTCTGAGTTTTGCTCATAGACTGAATCCCTTGCTGAGTTTCCCGCTTGCTACTAAGTTCTCTAAGTCTGTGTGTTGTGCGGGTACTGGAGGCCGAGCAGAAGAAGACAAAAGTGGCATTTTGAAGAGGCCCAGTAGTTGTAGGCTAGGTCTAGGCGGGTACCAGTCCAACCAGTCTGAGTCTAGGGCATGTACGTGCAGTATCAGAGTCTGCAATGATGTTTCCCTCCGAAAGGGAGGAGTACCGGTTGCTTGGGAAGTCCGAGCCGCCTGGAAGTCACCGCCCAAGAGGCAAGCAGGCCGGGTGAAGAGCCCAGCCGCATTGTCGGTGTGCAAGTTTGGCGACACACTGGTTGGAGCGCTGGCTGGAGCAGCGCTAGCTTGGAGCAGCACTGCTGGGGAAGAAGCAAGGACTCGGAGAAGGAAGAAGGACAGGAAGGGGGAGGAGCGCCAGAGGTACCTACCTGGCTATGGTGGCAGCCATCTTCATCACCTTGGTGGGCGCTGCAGCAGGAAGGCCCCAGCGCGAGTAGAGCTACACCAAGCAGCTTCGAGGCAGAGTCAGGCATGGCGGCCTGAGCTTGAGCAGCCATAGCTGCTTTGGGTTGTCCTTTGGGCATCAGAGCAAGGCCCAAGTAGTCCGCCATAGCCTCGGCCTTGGACAAGGAAGAAGAAGGGTGGCCACGGCTATGGTGGACCTTATGTGATACCTGCAGTAGAAGAGGGATCCGGACTTTGACTCTGGTTCAGCTATTCAACATAGTATTATTATTTCTTGTGTGAATACGAGAGGAGGAGATAAGGAGGAAGAGAGATTTGAGCGAGAAGAAGAGCTTTATCATTTGTCTATGCTGGTGTACATCATCTTCTTCTTCTTTCTTACTTCTTCTTCTTCTTCTAACCTTCTCTCTCCTCTCAAGTTCATTCATTTCTTTATGCAATTGGACGGCATTGTACTATCTGATGAATGTGTATCTCGAAATTGGCCAGGATCATAACACCTCCACCCTTTAATGGGTCAAATAAATATATGTATATATGCATATGTGCAAGTACGACGCTTCGGCGACAGACGGGTGTGTGGGCACTTGGCGCTGAACCACACAAACGTGGCCTTGGATTTTCTTTTTTTATCTTCTTTTTTTTTTTTAATTCAAAACAGGTCCTTATGCAGGCTTATGGTCCTCGCTCCTTTCCATTCTCAGTCCAGTTCCTTTTTCTTTTCTTTTTTTTCTTTTTTTAAAGAAAAATCAGAACCTCTTGGTTCTGGCTCCTGCCATTCTGGGGAGCAACAGTCCGGTTCCTATTCCCCCGGCAAGTCAATGAACAGTACAAGGTTGTGCGAGGCATAAGGCCTCGATACGCCCTACTGGGCCCTATTTTCAGCACGGTCGGACGCCCTAAGTGAAGGCAAGCTCGACCGAGGCCTACAGGGCATTTTTGGGGTCACCACGCAACTGGGGAAAATTCAGGCAGTTGTGCAGCGCCAGTTGGTTGAGAGCGCCCAGGCCCAGGCTGCCTCTTTCGATTGTAACTGAGGCAGGCCCTGGGTCAGATTCGCAACATGGACCGAACACAGGCCGCGAGCAGTTGGATACGGGCAACCACCACAGGCGCAGGGCCTGATTTGTTTGGACTGGGGCTCAGCCTCTCTGGGCCTACCTGAAGCTTCTGGGCAGGGGCCCAGCGCAGCCAAGCTGCATGCAAGCAGGCAGGCCATTTCGATTTAGGAAAGGGCCTGCCCACGCATTCGGCATTCGGGCACTGGCTGCATGCTGCGCAAGCGCTGCTGCGCTAACGCTGGCCAGCGCTCACGCGCTCACGGGCGAGCTGGAAGCAGCAGGCAGCCATAGCCGAGCTGCGCTGCTGTATGCTGGATGGGGCGCATGGTGGTCCTTGGGTGCATGTGGCATCTGTGAGTTGGGGAACGAGGTTGTGAGTGATACGAGAGACATACCTGGTGCTTGAAGTGTACGGCATTGGCCGAGATCTGCTCGTACTTCGGGGAGCTGTTGACGTCACCAGCGGCATTGTAGATAGGCTAGATAGGATCTGCCATTTGTAGTCTGGGCGCCTAACGCCAGATAGGATGTCGACATTGGTTCTTTGTTGATGATGATGAGACTACTCGAACATTGTCACTTGTGAGCTTTTGCTGTACTATTATTTGGTGGGACTCGTGATGCAATTCTGCTTTTGGTTCTAATGTGTATGATGCTGCTTGGTTTCTGAAGTTCGCTATCGCTCATTTTCCTTGCAATTTGGTATCGGAGTTGTGGTACGGTGCGCTCATCTGGCGTTTGTCTTCTGCCTATGCGGTACATGCATGCGGTCTGCTAAGCGAGCGGCCGTAGGGAGTGTGGAGTGTGTAGTGAGGAGGGCTAAGGCAAGTAAGGCGACCCAGGAGAAGAGGGATATCGCCAGGAAGGCTACGTGGTGTATATTGGGTGTTCGCAGTGTGATGAGAACTATCCGATGTATGATTGATGCTGAGGTGGAACGGCGGTGCAATGCTGGTTGCGCCAAAGCAGCGATTGGTCATCACAATCAACATCGGGTCATCTGCTGAGAATATTTGTGGTTGGGGGCAGCTATTTTGAGGTACGTTGCACCTAACCTTATCTACCCTCTTCGACACTTCTTACTGTGAGGATGTGTGTTATGTCTTGAGAGTCCTCTCATGTAAGGAGTCGAATGCGCTCAACCTTGAGAGTCGTCATCCTTCGCGTGGAGCATCTGGAAGGAGAGGGCGGTGCTATCTAAAGGGCCCGGGACGAAGCACTGGGTCACGGTCACCATGCCAACCCACCGGGAGTAGAGCACGCATGCTTTGCTGCTTTGTCCTTTGTCTGCTCGTTGCGCTATAGAGGGGTTCTGAGGGGCAGGCCAGCCCTACGGGAAAGACGAGTACCGGACGTCTATAA